GCCGGGCTGCTTTCCTCAAGGGCTTTCACTAAGTCCAACCTGGTCCTCTCCACATACTTTGCACCCAGTTTTTCCTCCACGAAATTCCTATAAAAAAACAATGCAAAATTTATGACCAGTGCTTGCTTTTGACCTTGCAAAGTGTCACAACTTGGATGAGCTTAAACCACAGGCACAGGAAGAAAGCAAACATGTTCTTCACATGGAATGTTGTGCTAGAATGACAATATGAATCCAACTGGACTCATGCAGAATGGCCAGGGGGACCCCTCTCCGCTTGGGAAGCTCTGAAAACCAGAAGCCTACATTCTATTTTGGGGGGCTACTGAGACCACCCCTCAGTACCATCAGCTGCCTGTCTACAGCTTTGTATCCCCTTCCCAGTCCCCTGCCAGACCCCCCATTACTTATTAACAGCTCATTAGATTTGCCACAGTGCAATTTTCCAGCCTGCTGGGCTTCTCATGAATATACAAATGCTTTTTGGGGTGTTTCTCACACAGGGAAGCTCCATTAAGCAGGGATTATTTTCCAGCAGCACCCGATTTAGCAGAAAGTAAGTAGCACTGAGCAGAATTCACTTGTAAAGTAGGGCTCGGCAGAGGAGGCTGCACAGGGAAAACCGGCTGAACTAGACAAAGCGGAGGGAAAAAACAGAGGCGCGTGAATACCACTAAAGAAAGAGGAGCAGGGAAGGCCGTTGTGAACTCCGGTCGGTGAATTCAAATTAGAACGCAACGTGTGTGAATAAAGGAGCATATTACCATTTGGAAGCCAAAACGGCAGAGAAAAAGGACGCTTGAACCAAGATGTAGACAGGGCTTTCTGCTTTTAAGTCGTGCTGGCTGCAAAGTTATGGGACTCTGAGTGTCTCTTTGAAAGGAATTCATTTTTATTTGACATGCAAAATCTTTGGAGCCAAAATGCCACCACAGCATAAAGACAATGGAAATTAACACTTGGATCACGCATTTCCCTGGCCTCTGCACTCTGCTGACACCCACCTCTCTTCCCAAAATATTCCCATTCTCTCCCTGTCTCCCCTGCAGATTTCAGAATCAAGGTTTTCAGGAAGGATGTCCTGTATCGTGTTGAGCAAAGTTTAACAATGGGAGCGAGCACATCATCAACATTTCAGCAGAATCACTTCTCATCAGTATGGACCGAAAATGCCTCCGGCAGATTCTCCCAGCCCCTGAAGACTGTTCCTCCCGGTTAACTTGCATTTCCGAAGATGCTGACTGCCCCACCTGAGCGCATAGGTCATCCTGTCAGGGCGCATTGCTCTCAAGATAATCAGCTTCTGTATTAAACTTTTCTTCTTCCATTCTTGCGGTAACTTTTCTTTTTCCGGACACTCGGATTCTACCCACTTCCTCCACTGCTTGGCAGATCCTTCCACGTCTCTGTCTATGCCTCGAAATTCTTCCATAAGGGCTACTGCCTGTAATACAACAGGGGAACGGACAGGAATAGTTTATCTCGAGCCTTTGAGATAGAAACTTGTGCCTGCATCAACTCCTGTATAAACAAGTTGTGCTGGACAGTATTTCCTCTCCGGATTTACCCTGCACCCTTTTCTGCCCTGCTAAGAGGTGATCTCTAAGAGTCTCTTGGACGAAGCTCCCTGGTTCTCTGGCCTGGTTGGATTTGTCCAATAGGAGGCAATGGCAAGGGACTAGAAGGCCGGGGAAGAGAGAGGTCGGTGTATTTCTCACCAGCTCTGCCTCTGAAGTGACCCAGTTGGGCATGCTCCTCTACTCAATGCCATGGCTCCTGTAGGCTGGCTCTCTCCCATCACTTTATTTCTCAGTCATTTTGGTAACTGCTCCTTTTCCTTCCTTTTGCCATCTCCATTCCTGGTTGATTCTCTATTTCTCCCTCCCTTACTACGAAAATATACTCTACCCTTTGTTAAACTTTTTTTAATCTCCCCTTTGAATGTGCCATCTGTTTTCTGCTGAGGCCCTGACCAATACACAATTGAATTTATACTGCTGAAGTATGATTCTAAATAAATTGAAATTTAACATTTTGTTTCTTAAAAACTAAAGATCTAAATACACCATAAAAATAAGTCTTCAATGCATAGAAATGGTTCCTTTTCTTAGAAAAAAAGGGTGGGGCCAAGCTTAGCATGTGATGAGCATCTTAAAGGAATTCCTGAGTCTGAGAATAAGCATCTAATTATAAAATAAAGAAAGTAGCACCAGGCAGATTAAAAATTATTCATTTATATTTCTTGACTTTTTTCAAAGGTCATAAAGACTATACATATTCATTAACAACTTTTCTGCCCATTAAATGGTCAAACGTTCCTTTACTTCCAATAAGAAATCAGTCACTTTAGTTGTACCCCTGAAACAAATATAATATTGTGTGCCAACAATAAATGAAAACTAATTTTTTAAAAAAGCAAAAACAATACTCAATTTATTAATATAAAGATCAATTACATTGTACGGCATATTTCTACAACTGAAGTGGTTTATGTCACTTGGATTTTTAAAACTACATTTCTACATTTGAGAGTACTGAGATTTGAAAACCCATGTTCCTAACATACCTTAATGGCACTCCATGATTGAGTAGTTAGAAAGTCGACAGGACTCAGGTAAGTGTGTTCAACTGTGAATCGAAGCAGGAAATCCAATTCACCAGGGTCTATCTCTTCCTTTCTCAACAAAATCTTGAGAATACACAAAAATTGAAGAGAGTCATTTGGTTTACGCATCAAAATCACGACACAGGAAGCAGTGACTGCTTAATAGATATGATTAAATAGCAGAATCAAGTCTTCCAAAAATTCTTACAGATATATATCTGTTCTATAATTGAAATAAGGAATAAGTTGTGCCCATGATCTCAAAACCTTGATCAGAAATCTAACAGCAAATAATTAGGAAGGATGGTTTATTCCAATTTTATGCCTCTAAGTAACATATGTGAAATATGCTTTCATAGTTAAGTCTTCTGCTATTAGATCAAACGTCTTAAAATTTGTTTTACAAATTGAGAAAGCTTGCGATGACAATGGACTGAGTTACTCAACAGAAGGCAGAGCTATTTCTATACGTTAGTACTGGTGTAGGAATTTCATCCAAGACACTATGAGAATCACACCGGGAACTGAAACACACTTTGGACATTCTGATTACAGAACTGACAAGAAGTCCATAGGACATTTTGGGGGGGGGGGGGCTCAGATGAAAATATTCCTAATTTCCACATAAAAACATTACAAAGATAAACAGCTCAAATACTCCAATTTTAGACTATTTTTGAATTCTAGGTATTTTCATAATACATTATGGGTGGTAACATGCATGAAAATGTTTTATTTTATTGAAAAATTAATTCAAGGGCTTCCAAAAACACGGGTGTCTATGCTTCCCTTCAGAAATAAAGTACATCATCAACAGAGATGGGCGACTTTGGTTCTGATTTGCTCACCTGGAAAGCCATCTGGGACAGGAAGGTGAGCTTGTCCTTCTCAAACAGCGCCCGGCTGGTGTGGAGGAAGATGGCGTGGGTGATGCTCTCCATGAGGACCGAGACGCGCCCCTGCGTGTCCCCCACCCTGTCAGCCTGCCCCATGGCTCTGTGGAACAGCACACTGAAAGCCTGGGGGGTGTAAAGTGACTGTTAAAGGGTGGTAACTGGTGCCTGGATGCCTCGCTAGCCCCCGACACACAGGGCCAATACAGTTTAGAGGTATCCATGGGGAGAGAAAACAGGACAGGGTTTTTATGAAAATTACATGATAATTTTCTGTCATTACTATTATTAGCATCATTCCATAAAATCTACCTGTATCTCCTCCCTACACAACTACACTGCACCATCCTCTTTGCATTTTTCTGATAATTGTTGAGCATTTAAAAAATGTGTGTATGGGCAAGTCATATGTTTTAGTATAGGGGATGTCTGTCCAAACTTTCCATCTATTTGTTTAGTTGAGTTGGTTGTCTTATTGAGCTGCACACGTTCTTTATATATTATGCTATAAATTCTGTTAGATGTATGTATGTATTGGAGATAGTTTTTAGTAGTCTGTGGCTTGCCTTTTCATTTTCTTAATAATGTCTTTAGAAAACCATACATTTTTTTAATGTGATAAGGTTCCATTTATCAATTTTTTCTTTCTTTTTAAAAAATATATATTTTTTATTGATTTTAGAGAGGAAGGAAGAGGGAGAGATAGAAACATCAATGATGACAGAGAATCATTAATTGGTTGCCTCCTGCACGCCCCCTACTGGGGATCATGTCCACAAACCAGGCATTTGCCCTTGACCAGAATCAAACTCGGCACCCTTCAGTCCGAAGGCTGATGCTCTATCCATTGAGCAAAGCCAGCTAGGGCAATTTTTTTCTTTCTTAAGAAATCTTTGCCTAACCCAAAGCCCAAAGATTTTCTCTTATTTTTTTTTCCTAGAAATTTTATAGCTTAGATTATTCATTTTGAGTTAATTTTGTGTATAGTGTGATGCAATGGTTGAGGTTCATTTTATTCCATGTTGATATTCAGTTGTCTCAGCACCATTTGTTATAAAAAATTATTCCTTCCTTTTTGAAGTGTCTTGGCATCACTAAAAAATCAGTTGACCATACATTTGTGGGTCTACTTTTGGACTATCTATTCTGTTCCATTAATCTATGTATTTTACTTTAGGCTGATTAGTGAAGATTTGTAATAAGTCTTAAATCATGTATTTTATCTCCATATTTGTTTTTTTTTTTAAATTTTTTAGTTATTTTAAATCCATGCCCTGACCAGTTTGGCTCAGTGGATAGAGCATCGGCCTGCGGACTGAAGGGTCCCAGGTTTGATTCCTGTCAAGGGCATGTACCTTAGTTGCGGGCACATCCCCAGTGGGAGGTGTGCAGGAGGCAGCTGATCGATGTTTCTCTCTCATCGATGTTTCCAACTCTCTATCCCTCTCCCTTCCTCTCTGTAAAAAATCAATAAAATATATTTTTAAAAAATCCTTTGCACTTCTGCGCAAATTTTAGAATCAGCTTAAAAAAAGCTTTGTGGGATTTTGATTGAGACTGAATTGAATTTATACATCAATTTGAAGAGACATCTTAATAATAATGAGTGTTCTAAACCAAAATCATGATCTCTGTCTCCATTTACCTAGGCTTTTTGAAATTTTCTCAAGGATGTTTAGTTGCTTTCAGTATACAGATCTTGTATTTGTTTTGTTAAAATTATCCCTAAAAGTTTCATAGTTTTGAAAGCTATTATAAATAGCATTGAGTTATTATTTTCCTTGTTCCTCATATATAGAAATACAACAGATTGTTCTATATTGATTTTATACCCTACAATCTTGCTAAAAACTCAATTCCTAGGAGTGTTTTTGTAGATTTCTTATGATTTTCTACACACACAATCAGGTCATCTGTGGGAAAAAAAGAAGACAGTTTTTCTTCTTTTTAAAAATCTCCGTGCCTTTTAATGTGCTATTGCATTAGCTATAACCTCCCATGCAGTGTTGAACAGAAGTGTTGAGAGGAGATATCCTTGTCTTGCTCTGATCTTAGGGGAAAGCATTCAATTTTTCAACACTGAGTTATACTGATATTAGCTGTAGA